CATGTTCTCACTTATTGGTGGGAGCTAAAAATAAATAAATAAATTCACACACACAAACACAAAAAAACTGGGGTGGGGGGAAGAAGACATAACAACTACAATTCCTTGAAGTTGGTACGACAAGCAAACAGAAAGGACATTGTTGGGTGGGAGGGGGGAGAAGGATGAGGGAGGGAGGTTTCGGTAATGGGCAACAATAATCAACCACATTGTATATCAGAAACAAAAATAAATTAAAAAAATAAATAAATAAAATAAAATGGGGGAACTTCCTGTGGGGACCAGCACTTGAGCTCTGTGGTTGAGCTAAATTGCTGCTTTGCTGCTGATTCCCTGGGGAAGGCTTTTTGTGCAGCTCAGGTTTTAATGGTTGACCTTAAATGTACTTCCAGGTCTTGTGAGGTCTGGTGCACCTGGGTTGTGTGGAAACTCCAGTCTGAGCCTGAGTCTTTTCATCAAACTTCACCCCCTGCAGTTCTATATTGCTGACCAGTCTCCATTGAGTGGTCCTGCACTGATTGGAGAGCAGATCAGCTGTCCTTGCTGTGCCCCAATGTTCCCCTGGTTGCCCATCTCCCCCACCACCTGCACTTCAAACACTTCGTATGGGCAGGCCATGTGCTGGTCCCTTAGGATAAGTCACTGACCTCTGAGTGGATCCTTTTTTTCAGTTGTCTTTGGCCCTTTACTCCTATGTGGGTCCACGAGAACCCTGTTAGTGGTCTTGCTGGCCTGGGGGCCACCAAGTCTCTCTTCTCCCCTGCAGCCTCCAAGGAACTTCATACAAAGGACACAGCTGTGGCTTTTGCCAGCTCTTGCTTCATGTGCTCAGCAGGGCCAGCCTGGAAGTGCCCGGGGCTTGAAATGGTGGGAGTGATCCTTTCTTTCTCTCATCGTGACTTCTCCTGCCTTCCTGAACTCTGTAGGTCTCTCCTCCTCTTCCCCTGGGCTCTAGCAGCCCCAGCTTGGCTGCCATTGTTTTTTAATAGTTGTAAATTGGTTGATTTGTGGGAGAGAGTGACGCTGGGGACAGTCTACTCCACCATCTTGACCAGAAGCCCCTGAGGACTTTAAAAAAAAGAGCATGTGAGAGTCTCTCTCTCTCTCTGCTCTGCCATTTTCTACCATGTGAGACCCTTGGGTCACTATCGCCACCACCAAGACCCTCACCAGATCTGTTCCTGGACTTTGGACTTCCCAGTCTTTGAAACTGTAAGCAATAAATTTCATTTTCTTACAAATTACTCAGTTCTGTGTATTTTGTTTTAAGTGACAGAAATAGACTAATACAGAGTGTCCACAGCATATCAAAGATTAATAGTTTCACCATTCTCCTTTCTAACAGTACTTAATAATGGAGTTTGTTTCTATAGATTCTTGTGGTTTACAGATTACTTCTACCTTTGAATATGACCCCATTTAATAGTTTCAAGATATATGTGGTATTCAGTGACAGAAACACTATTTTATAGAGGAAGAGGCTGAGACTGGCTAAGAGT